CCCATGCTTTTGATATTTCTAGGAGAGACGTGGATTCCCATAGGGCAGCCAAACCAAGCAGCCTTGACCCAATCACATAGCAGAAATAAGTGTTCAAGGGATTCAGTTTCATCACCGCACACAGGGCAAACGGGATTTGGAGCACAATTTCTCTTGAATAAAGCTTCTTTTGAGGCTAGTGCATTGTTTAAAATTCTCCAGATAAAGTTCTGTATTTTGGGCATAACTTTCAGTTTCCACACTGCGGACCAGATTCTAGTGTCCACTTTCCTAGATGTTGATGCTCGAGCTGTTCCTTTTTTGCTTTCAGAAGTAGCAGCTTTTACTCTATACCCTGCTTTGACGCTATAGATCCCATCCTTTGCAGGAGCCCAAATCATCTTGTCATCACGCGGAAGGGTTGTAAGAGGGATTTTGACAATTAAGTCCAAGTATTGCTTATCAATTATCTCTTTAATGGGTAGTAAGTTCCAGCTTCTATCTTGAATAAGATCAGCCACAACCATATCTTGATTAACTGAGGGATCGTTATTGACAGGAATTCGAAATTGCTTAGCCCCCGGGACCCATGGATCTTTGAACACATCTATGTAGTGACCAGTCCCAACCTGCCAACACAGATTTTCCTTTAAGAAATCTCGCCCTGCCAGTATGCTATCCCAGACCCAAGAAGCTTTGGACCCTTTTGTGGCCTTCATAAAAGAGGTGTTTGGAAAATAAATGCTCTTTAGCACTTGGACCCACAAACTGTCGGGGTTGTTTAGAATTCGCCAGGCTGTCTTGGCTAACAGAGCACTATTAAAGTCCATAAAGTCCTTGAAGCCCAATCCTCCCTCTTTTTTGGATTTTGACAGCCTTTTCCATTCAAACCAGTGAATTTTCCCAGAACCTTCCGAGTTACTCCAGAAGAAATTCGAAACCAAACTATCCAGAGCTATACAAGTGTTCTTAGGGAACTTAAAACAAGACATGGGATAGATGGGGATTGCACTCACTACTGCTTTGATCATGATTTCGCGTCCTGCAAAGGATAAGCATTTCTTCTTCCAGCCTTGCACTTTTCTTCCCATCTTATCTCTCACATAAGCTAGGGCAGCATTTTTCGATCTTCCCCACAGAATTGGGAGGCCCAGATATCTCCCTGGATCTTCTACTTCTGTAATATTTAGGCAATCCCCAACCTTTGCTTTCACATCATTCGGAGTATTCCTTGAGAAGAATAGGCTAGATTTTTGATAATTTACTCGCTGCCCCGATGCATTACAATAATCCTGCAAAGACTTCATGAATAGGCTACAGTTATCAATGTGAGCATTCAAGAAAATGATAGTATCATCCGCAAAAAGACTATGTGTTAACATAGGGCCTCCTCTTGTAATATTGATTCCTTTCAAATTTCCGTGAGCAGTGTGAAAGGAAATCATGGAAGATAAAGCTTCAGAGGCCAAGATGAAAAAATAGGGGGACAAAGGGTCCCCTTGTCTAAGGCCCCTTTGGGGGGCAATAGAAGCAATTTTCTTTCCTGAAAGCTGAATATTAAAATGAACAGTTCGAACACATGACATAATCCAATTCACCCATTTAGGGTCAAAATTCATCTTAATCATAACTTTTTCCAGAAAACTCCACTCCAATCTATCATAGGCTTTATTCATGTCCATTTTCAGGGCTACCTCAAATTTATCTCCTGAGACTTTGTTCTTTAGGTAGTGGAAGGCTTCATGCACAATAATACTGTTATCTTGTATCAGTCTATTAGGGATAAAGGCTCTTTGGTATTCAGAAATACAGCCATCCAATACATGTTTAAGTCTGTTAGCAAGAATTTTTGCTATAATTTTGTAAGCAAAATTACAAAGACTTATAGGTCTAAACTGGGAAACTGTTTCAGGGGCATCAACTTTGGGAATCAGAATCATATTTGTTTCATTTAAAGACTCTAGCAAATCCCCATGGTCAAAAAAACCTCGGACCATCTTGACGAGAGAAGGCCTTACCTCTGTCCATGAAGCCTGATAGAAGTGTCCATTGAAGCCATCAGGGCCCGGAGCTTTGAAGGCACCGAGTTGGAAGGTAGCATCTTTAATCTCTACTTCAGTGACTGGACCTGTTAAGAGAATGTTTTGCTGTTCAGTGATCTTCGGGCGCACATAATAAATCACATTATCAAAATGTCCCTGTATGTTGCTGGTAAACAGAGATGAATAGAAGTCTTTAATCATGCTGGCAACCTCTTCTTCCTTGTCAACCCATATTTCTAGATGATTTTTGAGTTTTACCACCAGGTTTCGCTGCCTTCGGATTATCGTTGATCTATGGAAGAATTTTGTATTCTGGTCCCCTGCTTGTAGCCAATTGGATCTAGATCTTTGCCACCAATACACTTCCTCTTTCTTCCAAATTGTTTCTAGCTCAGAAGTTAACTGCTCAATACAGTGCTTTGACTCAAGGGTGTACACTTCAGCTTTTAATCTCTCTATTTTCCCAATGAGTTCTGATATCATCTTCTTGTTATTGGGGAAGTATTTCCTGCTCCACTTGATCAGTTTATCTCTGCATCTATTCAGGCATTTGATAAAGGTGATAATACTGTTATCGCCTTCATTTTCCTCAGGTTTCCAACACTCCTTAATGATGTTAGGAAAATCAGGGTGAGTAACCCACATTGCCTCGAACTTAAAGCTTCTTGGTGTTTTTATATCATTAAAGCAGAGATGCACTAGCAGCATATGATGGTCTGAGGCTACTGGTTCCAGGTGAATGACTAGAGCTTTTGGGAATAATTCTCTAAATTCAACATTACAAAGAGCCCTGTCGAGTTTTTCTTTGACATGATCTTCCCCAATGCGTTGGTTACACCAAGTGAACTTTGCTCCTTTAGCCTCTAAGTTCATTAGCTCACAGTCTGAAATGAACCGTTGGAAGTTGATAATTCTACGAATTGTGTGAGGATTGCCTCCCATTTTTTCATGTTGCGCCATAAGGTCATTAAAGTCTCCAACACAGAGCCACGCATCAGTAATATTCTTTGCTATAAGTCTCATCTGATCCCAAATTCTCATCCGTTCAGCTTCTTTAGGGGGCCCGTAAATGAAAGAGACATACCTGGGGAAGTTCCAGCGGTTTGAGGATGTCAAAGTGTGAATCACATTTTTTGAGCTACTGAGTATGTTAATAACCACCGAATCGACCCACCAGAGTGCTAAACCTCCTGCTTTTCCAATTGGTGCAACATACCAAGATTCATCAAATTGGCAAACCTTGCGGATTCTTTCTAGGTAACTCTCCTTCTTCTTGGTTTCTATAAGGAAAACCACCTGGGGTTTGTTTTTCCTAACCTCTTCCTTGAGGTTTTTAACTGCCAAGGGATTCCCCAACCCTTGGCAGTTCCAAGTTAGAATACTCATGGCCCCTCGGTGGCTGATGGAGGACAGCCACCGGAGCCTTCAGCCAACTAATCATCGCCACCTTTAAAGGAGAACCAACTCTCAGGGAAATCTATCTCCTTTCCAGATTGATTACTTTCAGAGGGTTTAGGTATTGATACTTGTCTGTTTCTCAAGCTTTGTTTCACTCTGCGGAAGCTTTTCCTTCTCGGGCTTTTCTTTGGGGAGTTAATCTTTTTGTTACTCGGAGCTTCTTTAGTTGGGGATGAGAATAGTTTCCTACGCTTACCTTCAATCGGTGACTTGGGTTCCTCCGCTCCTCTTGAGTTTAACTCTATCAAGACGTGTTGCAACGTCCGAAATTGGGGTCAGTTGGTTTGCTGGAATTATTGCCATATTAAGTTGATCGGCAGATGGTCCACTGGAGCAGGCCTGTTTATCCATTGGGGACATTGGAAGATCCCGGGGTGGGCTTATAACAATCTGGTCCACTAGAGACTTACTTTTAGAGATAGAAGGATTGACTCTGATTCCTGCCATATGGGCTTTCTTTTCTACTATAGGCCCACCACACCTCCTTCCCTTTTCTTCCGTCCCACTATTTGTCTCACACCCCAGATTCGAGTGGTCTAACTCATCAGCATTGTGGGAGAAGTCTTCTGACCATTCCAGCCGTTTTTTCGCCTCAGTCCCATCACGCCGCATACCCCCCTTACTCCTACTTTCCTGTCTGTCATTTTTTATTGCACGCGCTTTTCCTATTTGCTCTGCACGCGCCGTTGAACTTTTGCGGTCATCTTCCTCCGTCCAACCTTGGTCATATTTCATCATGGCTTCATCTCTGTCTCTTTCTGCTCCAGCAGATAGCCAGGGCCCGTAAACATTTTTACCATTACCATCGACTACAACTTCTCTCTGCAGGATCTAAAGTCATGCCCAATTAAGCCACAATGATAGCAGAAAATGCCAAGGCGTTCAAACTTGACAGAGACCCAAACTTCTGAATTATCTGGCCTTCCTACCCAGAAACCGTAGACCAGTGGCTTGTTGACATCCACTAGTACTCGTGCCCGCCCAAAGCTTCGATGGAACTTCCCCTCCACCTTAGGTTTCTCATACCAAACTAGCTCCCCGACGAGGTTACCCATACGACAAATATTTTCTTCGATCTCCAGAAGACCCATAGGGAGATTATGGAACTGGACCCAGAACGGGTTCTTGTTAAAAGAGACCTCATCAATAACCATTAAATCTGTCCATTCTTGTATGCTCATTAACGCACCCTGAATAGACCACGGTCGCCCTTTGAGCAAGCGGAATTTTTCATGGCTATTGGGAAAGGTGAAGACAAAAGCCTCATCTTCCATTTCTACTATCTCCGTGTTCTCATTCAGATTCCATCCCTTTCGGATAGTTGCTGTAACTGACTTTTTGCTCACCACTTTATTAGAGATAACTTTTCCAATCAGCATGTGGGTTTTACTTGCAGTATTCTCACAAGCTTTCCACACCACATTTAGCCGAGGGCCTCGGTTTACTGATGCGCGTACGTTCTCCTCCATTCTTACGCCAAGCCTGTATCCACCGAGTACTACTACAGGCCTTAAACTAGAGATGCTCACTCTCACAACACACTCTCCCTCAAATCCCAAGGAGGAATTTGAGTTAGAACTTTTATCGGAACGCCACAGTGGGTGGTGTCCGTACTCTCTTGCCGTTCAAAGACGGTACCTCACACTCTCAAGAAGAGAGAAAAACTCTCACGGGGAGAGACAGATGACCAAGATATTCAACCCATTTATCTGACTACATAGTTGCATGCTTGTAGATGATTATACAGTTGTTTTTTCTTTAAAAATAGCTTTGTTTAAATAAAATAACAGCAGCAGATAACAGAATACCAGGATGCAAGTTCGTATATGCTGCATAAAAAAAGAGAAGATGAACAGAGTTTCGGCTTTGGCCAAAAGAAAAAAAAAACGAAAGGTTTTGGGTTTTAAGCCGGCTTCGACTGCTTTTTTTGTCTCCTCTGGTCAATCTCCTCACTGAATCAATCGGCGGATTGAAAGTTGAAGATGTTCTTTTGTATAGCCTCAAGGTATGGCTTCTCCAAATTTCCTTTGTTGCTGCATCGTCTCCAACTTTATTCCGTCTTTCTCCTTCACACGTCCTAACTTCCCGCTTCCGTCTCCATTCCCATTGGACAAATCCTCAGAACATTGAAGAGGCTGTCTCTTCTTTCCATGGCCTGCTTCAAAGCCATCCCCCACCGTCTATAGTCCAAATTACTAAGATTTTAGGATATGTTGCTAGAACGAAACATTATCACATTGCTCTCTCCCTTTTCGCACAAGCAGAATCTAAGGGATTCACGCCAGGTTTGGTAACACTGAGCATCTTAATTAATTGTTACTGCCACGTGGGTCAAATTGCTTTTGCTTTCTCTGCCTTAGGCAAGATTCTTAAGATAGGCTGTCAGCCAGATACGGTTACTCTGAATACACTAATGAAGGGCCTCTGTATCAATAATGAGGTCGGGAAGGCCTTGGATTTTCATGATGATCTGATAGCAAAAGGGTTTCAGTTAAATGTAGTTAGCTATGGCACAATCGTCAATGGCCTATGCAAGATGCGAAAAACAAGAGCTGCGGTTAAATTGCTCCACAAAATTGCTAGAGGGCCGGTTAAGCCTGATTTAATTATTTATAATACAATTATTGATGGCTTTTGCAGAGAAAGGCTTATCACTGAAGCCTGTGGTTTAGTTCATGAAATGATTGATTACGGTATAGCTCCTGATGGCGTGACCTACAGCTCTCTCATACGTGGCCTTTTTGTCATGGGTAAATGGTCAGAAGCTGCAAAGTTGTTTAATCAAATGAGTCATGAAGGCATCAACCCTAATGTTCATACTTTTACTATACTGGTTGATGCATTTTGCAAAGAAGGAAGTGTTACCAAAGCTGAAGCTGTTATTGGTTTGATGATGAAGTGTGGTATAAAACCTAATGTAGTTACTTGCAGCACTTTAATGGATGGTTACTGTTTGATTAATAATGTTAGTGAGTCAAGAAATCTATTCAACAAGATGGTCCAGAGTGGTTTGGCTCCTAATGTTATTAGTTATAGTATTTTAATTAATGGACTCTGTAAAATCAAGATGGTGGATGAGGCCATGGATCTCTTTATGGAGATGAAGAGCAAAAGTTTGACTCCCAATATTGTCACCTATAGCTCTCTTGTTGATGGTTTGTGCAAATCCGGTAAAATGTCCTATGTGCAGGATATTATTTATGAGATGTATGATAGAGGTCAGGCCCCAAATATAATATTTTATAGTATCTTGTTAGATGGATTGTGCAAAAGTGGTCATCTTGATCAGGCTATTACATTATTTCAGCGAATTGTTGATCATAAAATGCAGCCTGATACATGCACATATACTGTACTTATTAGTGGTTTGTGCAAAGCTGGTAGATTAAATGATGCGTGGCAGATTTTTCAGTGTCTTTTGGTCAATGGCTATCCTTTGAATGTCCGAGCATATACTGCAATGATGAATGGACTCTGTAAAGAGGGTTTGTTCGATGAGGTTAAGTCCTTGGCTTCTACAATGAAGGAGAATGGATGCTCACCTAATTTTGTAACCTTTGATGGAATTATTAGACCTCTTTTGGAAAAAGGTGAGAATGATATGGCAAAGGATGTACTAGATGAGATGTTCACAAGAGGTCAAGGTTAGATACTTTGCTTCAGAATTATTTGATTGTTGATGCTCACTTTTGTGATGAAATTTGCTGTAATATTCAACAGATTTGTTTCTTCTAAGTAAACTTTGCGGAGTTTATAACAGCTGACTGCAATTGCCCATGTTCTGTTTGCATCATATGTCTGATGTATTTTCACTTCTTCTTGCTGCAATATTTTCTTGTGGCTTATCGTAACTTTGTTCCTTCTTTCTTTATAGTTTATTTAATTAGATTCATGGACTCTTAAGCATATGTATACTAAATGAGGAAATGTGCTATTGTATTAGTCGTGGGTTGGTTTTGGCTGTGTTATTTGAACCTCTGTAGCTGTGCAGCACCATGAGCTTGATCTTGAAGTTTGCTGATTCATAATATCGCTACTCCTGACTTAAGATGTTGAACCTTTCTATGGATTGTGTCTGTTACAAATTTGTCACTATTGAAGAAGACATGGATGAACGTGTATTTGACTGATATGAGCTATGATACACGTCACATTTCTAAAAGAGATATGAAATATTATTGTGTTTCTTGAAGCTACTTACATGCACTGTGTTGATACTGGCCGTTAGGGGTATTTTTACGTTTAAAAGAAGACATTAGCGGAAAGTAAAACAAAAAACATTACCAGTAATGCACAGTTTTGGGTTATTCCTCCTGGTTTTAAATGTAGAAGCTTGATAATTAATTTACAAACATGAAGAAAATTAGTTTGTTATTTGTAAGAAGTGTTTGTTGGTTTTCTCAAAAAATCGTCTTTAATAATATACATCGGGAACCATCCTTATTGATGGAGATCCTCATTAATCGGCGCAATCAATAGGGACAACATAGGAAAAATCATAATTGTAAGCCCATAAATTTGGATGTTTGGCTATGATCGTCATGTTTGTTGGCTAGGTCTTTTGATACTCATGTGGTGCTATGTTAATTTTAAATTTTAATAGATCTCTTGAATTGATATTTGCAAAATTCAGTTTGTTGTGGTGAAGGAGATATGGAGAATGAAAATGTTGCATGTTATGGAGAATGATGCCTGTTTATATACTTCCTTCCCCTGACATGTCTCTCGCACGCTTGAATAGTTTTGTTTAATAATGATTATTTACTGAAAGTTACTTTTTTTTATTATGAATTTTTATGTGAGGATGTTTGTGATATTTAACGGCCAAAAAGTCATTTATTCTCTGTTATATTTTCTTCACTCTCTCTCCCTCCCTATATATATGTATGAAATTGATGTTTTATTAATTCTCCATCTCCTAAACTTTATTATACCAATTTTATTTGGAAAATTTGGTATAAAAAAATTGGTTGGAAAAAACCATTTTATAGATATTTATATTTTCTTTTGAATTTTAATTTGGTACTTGTTTGTTTTTTCTCTTAATTTTTTTTTAAAATTTTACTCTATTAGTATCATCAACATATATAACTTTGCTCTGTTAGCACTTGTGCAGATACTAACAACGCCAATAGAATAAAATTAAATAAAAGTAAAGATTAATTAAGAAAAAAATACATAGGCACTCAATGAAAAATTGGGAAAAAGTATAAGTTTTCTCTCTCAGTTGCATATTTTTCTTCATTTCATGTAATTGATTTTTTAACAAGAAAAAAGTATAAGAAGTTATTTTAGGGATTGCACAATGACTTCAAGTGCGTGGAGTTAAAACATATTGTAAAGACGAGTGTGAGACATGGAACGGAAGAAAAGTTTAATTTAAAATTTTTAACATACATAGAATAACAAATTCTAAATTGAATATTTTGTTGCTTGTATTTTTAATATGATCTATAATGTTGTAAAATAAACTAAATTTAATTTTGCACATGCTAACAAATTTAAAAGTAATTTATAAGAAAATAAAATAAAGTTGTTTGTGGCTAAACTAAATTATTGTTTATATTTAAGTATGCTTGTGGATAACAAATTCTAAAATCAGATAGAATGCTGTCTATCTTATGGACATTAAAAACATGCATGCCAATATATACTTTGATTTTCATAGTTATGTGCATTATTATTTGTTGTAAAATTATCAAATTAAAATGTATTCAATATTTAACTTCTACTAATTTTTACCCCAATTTGATTGGGGGGAAAACTTTTTAGTAAGTTTAATTTTGAAAAAAATAATTAGGTGGGATTAGAAATTTTTGAAAAAGATAAGATGTGAACTGAGAATGAGAGTATTGATCTTTTTTTTTTTTTTAACTTGACACTTTTGAAAAGAACAAATATACAATTTTATCTTCGACCTTATTTCTCATTAGCTTCCTCTTGGAAAAGCTTCACTCTCTTCTTTTTATTTTGGAGCAATCTTACCCAATATTAAATTAATCAGTAAAATTGTAAAAAAAAAAATTGTCAGTGAATTTGTACTACAAAAATAAGAAATGCTAGGTGCACCTAAAAAATAAGATAAGAATAAAATTAAAAATGCCCTGTTTGATTTTTTTTTAATCTTGAAAACAATTTTGTATTTTCTAGAAAAGTAATTTTTTCTGTAATTTATTCTTGGCTAGGTTTTTTTAAAAAAAATAGGAATCTGTTTTTTGTTAATAGCAATCTGTTTTGAAAAAAATCAGGCAAAATAAATCTGTTTTGAACAATACTCCCCCCCCCCCCCCCTAATGTCTTAGATTTTGTATTAGAAAATCCGGAGAATTCTCAACTCGACCTTATCCCAACTGTTTGCGCTCTTGCCGAAGCGTCCCTTCTCAGCTCGTCGTCCCCACTCTCTAGTCTGCTCGCTGCTCGCAATCTCCTCACTCCCTCCACGTCTCTAGCAAGCTCGCAGTCTGCTTCCTCATTTCCTCACTTCCTCGCCGTCTCCCGTCTCCAATCTCTCATTCTCCTTCCTCAGTTCTCAGCAGTTGGTGGGGCCTAAGTCTCTACTCTCTCTTCCAGTCTGATTAATTTAAGGAAGTTTCCCGTGTCTTCTTAACCATTTTATGCACTACCGCTGTATTTGGATATCCACTTATAATATTTGACTGAATGTCCACCAAAAAATGGTGGAGGAATTTATAGGGCAGTCTGCTTTTCTTGCTGCTGCTTTTCTTACTGCTGCTATAGCTGTTTCCTTTTTGTTGACTGTGTTTTGGGTTTAAGCGAATAGTCATATTTAGTGTGTGGGGGGGGGGGGATTCGATTGACCATGAGAGGATCAAATAGAATTCGCTTTAGATTGGCTTTCGTTGATGAGTTAGTTTGAAGCATGTTTGATAAATTTGTATATGACGGCTATTTAATGGCTCACACAATTCTTCTACTATGTTTGATTTTAAAGAGGAATGAGAGTTACAGTCAAATGCACCTTTTTAACAAAAACTCCGCTTCAAACTTTTTTCGATCTCTCTATGCCATTTAGTAGGATTTTGGAGATATTTTGTGAATGCCTAACATAAATTTTGATTTGAAGGTTTAGAAAAGGATAGGCTATTATAATTTGATGTCTTGAGATTATAAAAGAGTGAATTGGTATAGTTGAAGGCTTCAACTAAGCAAGAGGTTGTCTCTTAAGCTGATCATACTTTAGGTTTATGTAGTTTGTTGTCATACTCCACCTTTGGTTTTGTTGAATCTGGTAATGAATTTTCTATACGAAATAGTCATTTTGGTAGGAATGTTCTGTACTTAGTTCCTTTGGCATGACAGGATTTTCACAATAATTGAATGATTTTCTGATGTGAATAAGGGATTCTGATTTTTCTTGGTGCTCGACTGTGGAGAGTTTTAAGCTCCTTATTTTCTGATTTGGTCACTGAGTTCATGAATTCCAGTGAGGTAAAGAAGGCATTAGGGGTGAGTGTATCCGTGTGTTTGAAGGATTCAGTGATACTGTAGGAGTTGCAATGAAAGATAATGTTATCGAGAGTGTGAAGTACATGGTGGAGTACTTGGTGACAAAAACCATAGTGCTTTTGTACCAAGGCTAGCGTGATCTGAGAGATGGTGCGGTTCAAGCAGAAGCATGGGTGAAGAGAATGAAATGGGAAGGGATTGAGAAAGCATTTATATGCAGGTAAGAAGATAAGGAAAGTCAATGGTGAGATTGCTGGGATGCAATCAGACAGTAGAGAGCTTAAACTCTTCATATCATTTCCCTTTTCCTTGATGAGTCCTGATTACTTTAATTCTGCTGCATGCATTGACTTCGATATAGATGATTTTCTTTTATGATTAATTTGGCTTGGGTTTATCTTGAAAATTTAAATTCATGGATACATGAGACAGTTTCATACAAGGTAAAAAACCGAACCGGACCGGTTGGTTCAATCAGAAAACTGATGAACTGGTCTCAATCCGGTCTGGTTTGCTTGTTAGACCGGACATGAAACGAACCGGTAACAAACAAGTTAAACCAGTGTTAACCGGTTAACCGCCGGCTGACTTAGGTTGTCCGGTTTTTTCTTTTCTTCGTGTTCCAATGGAGGAAGAAGAGGCAAAAGGAGGAGAGCCACAGACAAAACATATCAGATTCAAGAAAAAGGAACAAAAACGAGGAGGAGGAAGAGTAGAACGAGAGGGAGAGGCAAAGAGAATGAGAGAAGCTTGCCTATTGTTTCTATAGAGAGTCACGTCCGTGCTGCGTTTTGATGCTTGCTGAAATCCATCGAAGAAGAAGTGAGTTTTTAAGAAAGAGGTGGAAGGAGAGGAGAAAAATGAAAAAGCAAAACGCAAAAAAAGAAGACGGAGGAGGAAGAAACGAAAGCTATTGTGTCTTGGAAAACAACCAAAGAAAGGCTTGGTGCAGACTGCAGAGTAAAGTGTCAATAACCCTATGTATAGCCTCTATTTTGCAGGCGTAGCATAGCTTTTTCTCTCCATTCTTTTTGTTTTTCGAAGCCTCATATCTGATTTAATTTTTTATCTCTCATGGCATGTAAATACCAAGGAACAAAAAACCGGACCGGGTATTAAACCGGTTAGAACAGTGGGTCAAGGGTTAATGGGTCAGATCGGGGTCAGACCGGGTTAAACCGGTAATAATTAAATTAAGTAAAAATATTTATATTTTAGTTATAAAAAATAATATTTACTGAATGGCTACTCATATTACAAAATAATTTTTTCGGATATTACAAAATATTTGTGTATACAATTTTTTTTTTCTCTTTCTCCTCTTTTCCTGACCCAATGCAATCTTCTTTTTTTATTTGGTATTTTATACCTTTATCTCTTTCTTTTCTCTCTCTCACGTGAATACTTAGACTTTTTCTTCTCCACAACACATCACGAGGTGACCATTTTATGCCTCTCTCCTCCTTGAACGGCAGATTCAAATTTCCATCTTGAAAGTTGAAACACTTCTTCTCTTTCTCATTCAATTTCATTCCTCCGGTCCTCCCTCTTCGCTTCTTTCTTTCTCAAACAACAGAGGTGGTGAACAGTAACCATTGTTTCTCCTCTGCACATCCGTTCTATTTTACCTTCCTCCTTGCCTTCCACTTTTCATTTCACTCTTCCACGAGCACGTGTTCGAAGTAGCGCAAAAGAGACGTTCAAATAGGTCTTTCTTTCTATGATTTTTTCTGCTTTTACCATTTCTCTCAACGGTATCCATGTCTTCTCCGGTGAAACGGTAAGAGTAAAAAAGAAGTAGGGGAAAAAAAGAAAATCGGCGACCCACCAACCCAACGGTTTTCCCGGTTTTTGCCGGTTCGTTCCGGTTCATTCTAGTTTCATTTGAAGCCGGTTTTTTCTTCAAACCAGACCGGACTGGAGGCCGGTTCACTGGTTTTCCGGTTGAACCGGCCGGTCCGGTCCGGTTTTTTTCTCATTGGTAAATACATGTTGTATAATCCAAAAACAAGAAAAGTCCGGCAAAAAAAAAAACAGAGAAATGAATAGAGTGTCTTTATTATATCACACATGTAATACTTTTGCTATCTAGACATATTTTTAAATATTATTCTGATTAAAAAAAATTCTATAGCCAAATATAAAAAAATTTATAATCAAATATTTTATATCAAATATAATATTTTCAATTATTTGTTATTTGTTGTAACTAAATTATTATTATATTTTCTTATATTTCGTTACAAATAATTATTAATATTGTTATGTTTTGTTATTGTCAATTAAATTATATTATTTTAATATGACCGGTTAGACCCGATCGGGTTTCTTGTTCCTTGGTTTCATAGCATTAAGGCAAAGAAAATTTTAACCATGTTATTTTTGTTAGTAGAAAATCATTGTTATGTTATTTATTGATAATTCCATTAGATTTTTTTTGTTAAATTAGTTTGTCAATATAATAAGATATTATGTAATTATAAAAAATAATGCCAATATCAATTATATAAAATAAGTGAATCAAACAGTCCGTTTTTATTTTTGTTCACCAAGTTATTTTTAAGGGCAATTGTTTCAAACAAGTTTTTATATTTCTTGTTTTCAAATATGATTTTTTAGGACAATCATCGCAATAGTTTTCGTTGTTTTTTGTCTGGAAAACTTGTTCTTAAAAACAATTTTATAAAACTACTCTAAAGAAAAAAAATGATAACATAATCAAACAAGGCCATAAATTTTCTGACCCCTTGAAAATTGGCTCCTTTGAGTTTGGTAACATATAGCCATATGGAAAAGTATATTATACATTGCGTTCTCCTATGCCTCATCCTTGGGAAAAAATTATTTTATCTGTAAGTGATTTTAAAAAGTGCATAAAAAATTATATACAGCTTCAAAATTATAAAATAAAAAATAGTTTGAAACTAATGTTGAAGTTTTTGTTGAAGGATCACCGTAGTTTAGCCTGAATGTCCATTGCTGGTATTCAAATGTATGTGAGCTCATGAATCCAACTAAAGATGTCGTTTTGCAGAGCTGCATCATTGTACTTAAAAAAGTTTACAGAGTTTTGGTGTGCTTTGTGAAATACTTCTTAAATAGATTTGCACTTTAATTCTTTATTTAAATACTCTTTTGAGAAAAAGATGAGCATGGATTGTAAATTATTATATAGGAAGTTTTTAATATGGGAAAATTAATATTGTCTGATCCATGACGCTCAGGCACAAAGCCACACTGATTGGGAGATATAATTCGAGGAAGAAAAGCTTTCAACCTATTAGCCACAATCTTCATAATCACTTTATACACCACGTTACAAAGACTTATTGGCCGTAAATCTTTGAATGATTCTGGTGGATCCTTTTTAGGGATTAAAACCACAAAAGTTCCATTAATCCCTCGAACTGCTGCTGGATTAGAGAAAATATGTTTTACATAACTTACCAGCGATCTCCCTATAGAATCCCACTGTGTCTGATAAAATAAAGCATTAAACCCATCTGGACCTGGAGATTTGAGGGATCCCATACTAAACAAAGCCTCTTTAATTTCTCTTTCTTCCACATGCCGACCACAGAAGCGTAGATCTACCTCATCTAGCTTGGGATACGAGACAACACAATGCAACGCATCCCTGCAAGACACTTCTTCAGCAAATAAAGTAGCAAAATAGCGTGTAGCTTCTCGTTTTATTACCTCAATGTCATAACACCAATCTCCCCCTTCCAATCGGATAGCATCAATTCTATTCATCTTCCTTCTCTTGTTAGCTCGAGTATGAAAGAACTTTGTATTTCTGTTTCCAAAAAGGGACCAATCCATTCTAGCCTTCTGAGCCCAAATAAGAGATTCTTGTATCAAAACTTCCTCAAGCTCCTTCCATAACCTCACTTGAATCTCTTCATAAAAGTGAACATTACCTCCTTGGCCCAAAGCTCTGTTAACCCCGTCCATGCGTCTCAATAATTTCCTCTTCCTTTCTTCAGTGTGTCGAAATACTTGCTTATTCCAAGAGCTACAAGCACGCGTAAACTGGTCCAGATTAAAGTTCCACTCAGTATCTTCCATCCAGTTAGCCTTGACAAAACTACTAAACTCATCATGAAGTACCCATGCAGCTATAAACTGAAATGGGCGACTAGGACGATCAACATGCTGGTGCATTTGAAGAAGTAAAGGACAATGATCAGATTTGTAGTAGGCAGATGGGACACCTGTGCATTTGGAAACAGACGACACCAAGCTTCATTAGCAAAGACTCGATCTAATAGTGCCTCCGAACTACCTCTCTTCCACGTAAAATAAGGTCCGACGAAGCCAATATCTGATAAGGACGATTCCTCATACCAATTACAAAACTCGCGGTCGATCGATAAGCCGTTAGGAGCGTGCGTATGTCTTTCGGATGAGAAAAGTGTAGCATTAAAATCACCTCCTATCACCCATGGCTCATGCATGCCTCGTTCGATACGATGAAGTTCACTCCACAAATGTCGTCGAGCTACCATATGGGGGCTAGCATATATTACAGTAAAAAAATAATGCTCCCTTCTAGAGTTTATGATACGTAAGTGTAAGAACTGCCGATGTTGTTCGATCACATCAACTTTCTGAACCCCAGCATTCCAAAGACACCAAATACCACCACTAAAACCCTCGGCTTCAATAAACGTATACCCTTGAAAGCCAAGACTGCCAATTCTTCTTTCAGACTTCTGTTTATCTGAACGGGTCTCAACCAAAGCAAGAAAATCCAAACAAAAATGATTTTTAAGTTCCTGTATCAGGCTAGGAAATGTCTTCGCGCCTGTACCTCGAGAATTCCATATCAAGAAATTCATAAAGAAACAAATGAGGAAGTCGAGGAGTCTATCATGTCCCTCCTCTGGACAAAAGCCGACTTCACTAACATTGACTCTCTTGTCTCCACGTGTTCGTGACCGCCCTTCATGATTATGTCTCCATCTACTATCCGTGCCACTTCATCAGGTTCCTCTACCGTTGCTAATGTGTTGTCCCTACTCATTTGAGCCTGGTTACCCATATTCTCAACGTCGCTGGGACCAGGGCCGAGTCGCTCAATCACAATGGACTGGTATTGGGCCTCACCCTCCTTCATCCCAGTTTGAAGTGTGTGAAAAGGATTAGATATTTCAATAGGCTGTTCATTAAGGTTTATCCCTTCCTTGACTTTAGCTTTTGCTTTCCCAAGAGTATTTTCCTTCCCTCGTACCTTAATCTTGTCCACAACCTTGCGTTTCGAGCCAACTAGCGTCCAAGAATTAGTATTAATGTTGTCCCCAAATTTCCTGCCAGAAGATACCGAGCCTTTTTCTGATTTATCCTTCTTCTCACCAACGAGTTTATAGATTTTTTGAATCCTTGCTTGATTCTTTCCACTCCTCCCAATATTATTCTCCTTAATCTCCGCACCGTTATTACCCGTTCCAGCTCCCTTATTATCCGCTCCTTTAGTTGATCCATCATATCCCTTTCTTTCTGTCATCACAATATTCCGACGAAAGTCTCGACTCACCAGCATCTGAGGCCCTAAATGAGTATCAGCGACTACCGTTGTTATTCCGGTCACCGGAATCTGCAAATTATTCGCTTCCTCTTTCTCAGATCTTGAACCATTACTGCTATCCCCTTCCCCAGAAAACTGCGGGCATTGTTGCTTCTCATGTCCATATTTACCCCATTGAAAGCATACCTGATGTAAACCCTCATAGACTATCTGCCATTCTTCTCCAAAAGCCATGAAAGCAGGCAACAGAGGTTGTTGAAGGTCTATCTCTACACAGATGCGAGCAAAGCCGCCTTTGTCATAAATCGATGTCGAACGGTCTACTTTAATCGTCTTCCCAATCATATTTCCAATAATACCCAGTGATTCCACGTTATAGAACTCCATTGGAAGATCAGGAATACGTACCCATGCAGCTATTTTGCGTTGCACATCCACCTTCCAAGGATTAAAGTTCGGCCTCCATCGCTGCACGATCAAGTAATGGTCTTCTATCATCCAAGGTCCCTCCTGGAAAGCATAGTCTTTGTCCTCTCTACTAGTGAAAGAAACAATATAATATCCATTGCTAAGCGGGGTGACCTTCATAGGCTCTTTCGGTTTCCACATTCTTCGAACCCTATCAATCAACACATGCTTCGGTATCTGTACGCCTAATAGTTTAACAATCAGAGAATTCCACCAAGGTTGACACCATGCCGTGTATTGTTCAGCAGAAACTTTCAGTTCCGGATACCTTGGTTTAATGGTAGTCCCTTCAGTCTCCACCCCGTTTGCATCTTCATCATCTCTACTAGCCTCTGGACTTTGATTCTGCTTGATGAAAAACGATTTCCATCCATTGACTATATCTTCATTCTCCTCATGCGAGACTAGATAGCCGCCACATCCTAAAGATAAAAGCTTTTCTTTGTACGACAAAGGCGTCGTTCTTCTACCAGAACTCGCAGAGGCTTTATCCTTCAACCCTTCCGTCTCTTTCCCTGACCTAGTTCCAACACCAAAAACAAACTTCAAAGGAGTATCCCCAATCTCTACCCCTTTGTCCCGCTCTCTTCCCCCTCTCCGATCACCATCTCCCATGGTTCCACCACCACCATCACCGTCGCTCGCTTCGACCTCCCCGCTCACCATAGTATTTACTATTTTAAGAGTGAAAGCAGAAATTAAAAGTGCATAAAAAATTATATACAGCTTTAAAATTATAAAATAAAAAATAGTTTGAAACTAATGTTGAAGTTTTTGTTGAAGGATCACCGTCGTTTAGCCTGAATGTCCATTGCTGGTATTCAAATGTATGAGAGCTCTTGAATCCAACTAAAGATGTCGTTTTGCAGAGCTGCATCATTGTACTTTAAAAAAAAAGTTCACAGAGTTCTGATGTCCTTTGTGAAATACTTCTTAAATAGATTTGCACTTTAACTCTTCATTTAAATACCCTTTTGAGAAAAAGATGAGCATGGATTGTAAATTATTATATAGGAAGTTTTAAATATGGGAAAATTAATATGAGCCAGCCTTTTTTTTTTTTTTAATATCAAGCAACAAATCCATTCAAATAATTAAAACCATTACAACTTAAAAGGCTGGCCTATTATAATGTCTAAGCAAAATCCAACTAAGCCCAAGTAAGCCAGCCCAATGCAATTGAAAGGAAAACCAAAAAAACAAGGGCTGCTAACAAAATGAAAAAGAAAGGTGGAAAGAAATCGAAAACACAAATAACTAAAAGTCCTGCAATTTCAAACCCAATCTTGAACCACGTAGCACTAGATAAGGTGAGAAGAGGAATTGGTGTAATCCTCAATACCACCTAGTCATGACCACCCAAAGTAACAAAAGCAAGATGAGAGAACTACAACTCTAGTCATTAAATCATGCCATGACAGACATTTATGTCTTTAAGGATAATAAAATGCAGATGTAAATACCTAGAAGTTGGAAGAACCATAACGACAGTAACCATGAACTGAGGAGCAAGGTGAGTAAGCCAATTACCAACATAGACATGAGTCAAAGCAATTTATTAGAGAAACACAGCTAGCGAAAAAGAAAAACAGATCAGGAGCAAATGATGTAGTACTCCAAGAGATGGACCTCTAAGTGGCTGCTAATGAACTTATAGGTCCTCGATGGAATCATCTACATGCATGGGGCCTTTTGGAGATTCCAACATACACCTTCTACGCAACAACTCAAGCGACAAATTTCAAAACGTTCCAAGGGTAGAATTCTCTCATCGAAAAAATGTTGAAACTAACCAGGTATTGGAGGTTCTAAATATCCTAGATATTGGAAATTCCAAAACCCATTCATAAACCGCTAAGACAAAGCCTTGCAACAACCAGATTCCACTGTGACCAATTGAATCAAGTACTAGCCGCATGTTCAGTGTGAACAGGTGATAAAATCGAAGAGTCAAGAAAACAACAGCAAGCTAGTATCAACCGGTAAAACTATTACTCTTCCGGTCCTTAATTTAATATTTATTTAACTAATTTGATTAGATTAAGAAAATTAGGTAAGTTAGTTAGTTATAAAAAATATGACATGTTTTTCTTAAAACACCATAGTCATCTTCCTTAATATTTTTCCTCTCTCTTTTCTACTTGATTATAGTTGAGGAAGTATCCATAGGGATAATTTAAGGAAAAATTAATAAATATGAGAAATAGATATTATATTTAGGACCAAAATCAACTCAACAATTAGGTCCTATATTAAGAACCAGAGGAGTTTGTAGGATCAACTAATTGAATCTATCATATAATTGTTTATTTTTATTTTTAAATTTTAATTTGTGTTTGTAAGCTATGATTCATGCATGTATTATTAATAAGCATCGAGTAAGGGGGGAAAATAGGCAAGATACATCTATGTATGAATGTATGTATATTTTAAGATTAAGAATTGTAAAATAAGTGTACAAATATATATTAATTGAAAAATATGGAGTATTGATGAATATTGCTTTTATAATTATATATTACTTTTCTTTGAATTCAATTATTAAATTTTATTATTATAAATGGTTATTTCTTTATATTTTAAGCTAATATCATTTAAAATATATTAACTTTTGTCATAATTGATTTATTAAAGCTAATATTTAAACCCCAAATTAAAGTCTCAATTTGTTTGATGCCATTGGAAAAGATTTTGATAATGAGGTTTAAGCTTTCTTACTTATCAAATTCTTTTTTTCCCACAATTCTTACTTATTATCAAAGATAATATATACAATTTCTCATTCAAAACATAAGAGTTAGATAATTAATTTAAAAAATTAAAAAAATTAATTAAATTAGTTAATTATAATAAATATGAGTTGACTTTCTTAAGTTATCAGTGTATTACAACTATTCATGGATAAGAATCCCTTACAATCAATAAGAATATTTTTAAGAAAATATTATAAACTTAAGAGATAAAGTATATTAAAATTTTATATCTAGAACGAAATCTAATATTCAGTTAACTCTTGTATTAAAGATCAGAAATAATATATGTTATCTTTGTTAATCTAAGATTATGTTATTGTTGATTTCTTCATATTTCCAAAAACATTGTGCTTAAAGACCCATTCTGTTTTCAGGCCAAAAAAAAATAGACCCATGGTGTCTCTCTCTTTTTATGCTTAGAAGAAAAATCGTAGCGACGATCAATCATTATTAAGCTTGTTTGAAACTACTTATATTAAGTATTTATAAGTAAGTTTGGACAAATTTTTTTTTTTTACATATTTATTTTGTTGTTACTGAGCTATTTTTAAAGAGTGCTAATGCCATCCAAAAAAGCACCGTCACGGTAATCAGCCGCCATCCTAAAAGCTAAAGGGGGCCCTCCAAACGCTTTCAGCGCATCACGCGGCTCATTTTCTTAATATTTTGGAATTTATCAATTTATAGCTGGTACTCGTGGGATGGAACTGGAATATTGGATGGGCCTTGCTCATTAAGTGTTTCAAATCTTTAATATAAAATCTATTTAACTAATTTGATTAAATTAAAAAAAATTATATAAATTAGTAATTATAAAAAATATGACACGTTTTTCCTAAAACACCATAATCATCTTTTTTAATACTCCCTCTCTATCTTCTACTTGATTATGGTTGAGGGAATATCCATAGGGGTGACTTAGAGAAAATTGATAAATATAAAAAATAGGTCTTATATTTAGAACCAAAACAAACTCAACAATTAGGTCATATATTAAAGACTGGAAGAGCAAATAATTCTCATATATGATTAAAATTGAAATAAAATTAGAATGTATTTTATTATTTAAAAAAGACAATGATATTATATGTATAAAAAGTATTTTTATTGGGATAATTATAATAAAATCTTAAGAAAAAAATAATTATTATAAAATTTTAATGAGAATTAAATAGTTTTTAATAACAAGTTTTACAGTAAAAAAATTAAGAATTATTAAATCCCAAAATGAGATTTACTAACAATACTTGATTTAGTATTAATAACGCTGAATTTATAAATGATAATAAATTTTTATTAATATTTTTAATTTGACATTTACAAATTTTGAATTTTTTTTTGTCATTTTAATTGATAATTATTTTTTTTTATATGAAATGAAACTCCATCGAAACTGTAAAATTTTGAAACATGCTTTTGGAGTAAGAAATGGCTGAATGGGCGGCTATCATTAAAACAGAGAGGCTTCGGAACTTTGGCAGGAGTTATTCGTCAGAGTTGTTGTACGTCCCGTTCCATCTCATCTGTCAATCTACTGAAGCACCTGAAAGGTAAAGATGATCTTTTGCGGAGCCTCAAGGTATGTCTTCCCCAAATTTGATTTGTTCTCTGCGTCGTCTCTATCTTTGTTCCTTCTTTCTCCTTCGTATGCCCTAATTCTCCCCTTCCGGTTCCATTCCAACTCGACAAATCCTCAGTGTATCGAAGAGGCTCTTTCCTCTTTCAATCGCTTGCTTTATGTGCGCCCCCCACCCTCTATAGTTCAACTTAATAAGATCTTAGGATCTCTTGCAAAGTTGAAACATCATCCAACTGTTATCTCCCTTTTCAAACAAGCACAAGCTAAGGGATTCACGCCAGATTTGGTTACACTGAGCATCTTGATTAACTGTTACTGCCATGTGGGTCAGATGACTTTTGCTTTCTCTGCCTTAGGCAAGATTCTTAAGATAGGCTGTCGGCCAGATACGGTTACTCTGACTACAGTAATGAAGGGCCTCTGTATCAATAATGAGGTTGGGAAAGCCTTGGATTTTCATGATGATCTGATAGCAAAAGGGTTTCAGTTAAATGTAGTAAGTTATGGCACACTTGTTAATGGACTATGCAAGATGGAGAAAACAAGATCTGCTCTTAAATTGCTGCAAAAAATGGCGAGAGGGCCGGTTAAGCCTAATCTTATGATTTATAATACAATTATTGTTGGCTTGTCCAAAGAAAGACTTATAACTGAGGCCTGTGATTTATTTCATGAAATGATTGATCATGGTATGTCTCCTGATATTGTGACCTACAGCTCTCTTATTCGTGGTTTTTGTGTCATGGGTAAATGGTCAGAAGCTGCAAAGTTGTTTAATCAAATGAGTCATGAAGGCATCAACCCTAATGTTCATACTTTTACTATACTCGTTGATGCATTTTGCAAAGAAGGAAGTGTTACCAAAGCTGAAGCTGTTGTTGGCTTGATGATGAAGTGTGGTATAAGACCTAATGTAGTTACTTACAGCACTTTAATGGATGGTTACTGTTTGATTAATAATGTTAGTGAGTCAAGAAATCTATTCAACAAGATGGTCTAGAGTGGTTTGGCTCCTAATGTTATTAGTTATAGTATTTTAATTAATGGACTCTGTAAAATCAAGATGGTGGATGAAGCCATGGATCTCTTTATAGAGATGAAGAGCAAAAATTTGACTCCCAATATTGTCACCTATAGCTCTCTTGTTGATGGTTTGTGCAAATCCGGTAAAATGTCCTATGTGCAGGATATTATTTATGAGATGTATGATAGAGGTCAGTCCCCAAATATAATATTTTATAGTATCTTGTTAGATGGATTGTGCAAAAGTGGTCATCTTGATCAGGCTATTACATTATTTCAGCGAATTGTTGATCATGAAATTCAGCCTGATACATGCGCATATACTGTACTCATTAATGCTTTGTGCAACGCTGGTAGATTAAATGATGCGCGACAGATTTTTCAATATCTTTTGGTCAATGGCTATCCTTTGGATGTCCGAGCATATACTGCAATGATGAATGGACTCTGTAAAGAGGGCTTGTTTGATGAGGTTAAGACCTTGGCTTCTACAATGAAGGAGAATGGATGCTCACCTAATGCTGTAACCTTTGATATAATTATTAGACCTCTTTTGGAAAGAGGTGACAATGATAAGGCAAAGGATCTACTAGATGAGATTTTCACAAGAGGTTAAGGTCAGATACTTCGCTTCAGAATTATTTGACTGTTGATACTCACTTTTGTGATGAAATTTGCTGTAATATTCAACAGATTTGTTTCTTGCAATTAAACTTTGTGGAGTTTATAACAGCTGACTGCAATTGCCCATGTTCTGTTTGCATCATATGTCTGATGTATTTTCACTTCTTGTTGTTACAATATTTTCTTGTGGCGTATCATAACTTTGTTTTTTCTTTTTTATAGTTTATTTAATTATTTAATTAGATTTATTAACTCTTAAGCATATGTATACTAATTGAGGAAATGTGCTAGTATATTAGTCGTGGGTTGGTTTTGGCTGTGTTATTTGAACCTCTGTAGCTGTGCAGCACCATGAGCTTGATCTTGAACTTTGGTGATTCATAATATCGCTGCTCCTGACTTAAGATGTTGAACCTTATTGTGTCTGTTACCAATTTGTCACTATTGAAGAAGACATGGACGAACATGTATTTGACTGATATGGGCTATGACACACGTCACATTTCTAAAAGATATATGAAATATTACTCCCTCCGGTTTTAAATATAAGACCCATTTTGTAGTGTAAATTACATTATAAAATGATTCTTATATTTAGGACTGGAGGAGTATTATATTTCTTGAAGCTACTTACATGCACTGGGTTGATACTGGCCATTAGGGGTATTTTTAAGTTTAAAAGAACACATTAGCGGAAAGTAAAACAAAAAACATTACAAGTAATGCACAGTTTTGGATTATTCCTCATGGTTTTAAATGTAGAAGCTGGATAATTAATTTACAAGCATGAAGAGAATTGGTTGTTATTTGTAAGAAGTGTTTGTTGGTTTTCTCAAAATATTGTCGTTAACAATATACATTCGAAACCATCCTTATTGATGAAAATTCTCATTAATATATGCAATCAATATGGATAATTTAGAAAAAATCATAAGTTTTTGAGTTTAAGTATATTAAAATCTCATATTTAGGATCAAAAGAAATTGCACAACTCTCTCCTTCATTTAGGCTTGGACAAAGTATTTATTTTTGCTCTTGAACCAATAACTATCAATTCCATGAAATAAAAGGAAATTAATGAACATAAGAATGTCTGAGCTGGACCACTACATGAAAGGTCGGAAGTCCATCATCCTGTGCTGGGAACTAAGCATAGCTCAATTGCAGCTTTTCTGAAAGTTCCACAATCAGCTTCTTAGGTACTTTGTTTTCTTTGGTGTATCTCTTGTGAATAATTGTAAGCCCATAAATTTGGATGTTTGGCTGTGACCGTGATGTTTGTTAGCTAGGTCTTTTGATACGCCCTGTGGTGCTATGTTAATTTCAAATTTTTAATAGATCTCTTGAATTGATATTTGCAAAATTCAGTTTGTTATGGTGAAGGAGATATGGAGAATGAAAATGTTGGATGTTATGGTGAAAGATGCCTGTGAAAATGTTGAAAAATTGCAATACTTTTCAGTTAAAATGATGGCAGGGATTGTTGCTGCTTTTTACTCCGCTGATGATAAATAGCATGTAAATATAGGTAATTTAGTGTGATGCGATCTTTGGTTTTTAATAAATAATTTTTAGGCAGAAATATTTCAATATTAATAATCTCTAGTTAAAGATGTATAAAATAACTTCGTAAATAAATTTTTTGTCAGCTATAATTGATCATTGTCATTATGAATATAAATAAAAAAAATTCTTGATTGAAAAAAAAAATCCAGTTTTTATCGATTTATTTTATATATTTAAGATTAGTTACTATCATAATTTAAATTTAAATATGTCAGCTTTAAAATGTTTTATTATTTTAAAATTTATGCGGATATATTTAAGATTTGGAATAATTGTTCAAAGTCACATTACTTTATTGTGATCTCATGTTTTTTTAACTTAAATGCTTAATTTTTGCCATGATTTTTCAGAAAATTATTAAATAAGATAATATTAAAAGTTACTACAAAATTCAAAAAATGCAAATACTAACCTTGAATTGATTTAAGGCCTTTATACTTTGACCACAGGTTACTACTTATTGTGGTTGGATTACTGGGGATAGCTATGTTAGTCACGAACCCATGCTAGATGGTGCAACAGTGATCGTGTATTACGGCGTAATAGATAGATTTTAATTTTTTCTGGCAAAGGGAAAGATTTTAAGTTTAAACATAATGTAATTATTTAAAACCATATGGTGTGGTTAAAAGTGCATCATAAAAGCATGTAGTTGGGGATGAAATTAATCACAAATTTCAATTTCTTCAATTTAGACTTCTACAAAAATTGTTGTGCTTTCCAGCATCGATTTTATTTTAATTTTGTTGTTCCAATCAAAAATTGAGCGTTAGGCTATGGACAAAGAGGTGCTTCATTAGTTATCTAATGGACACAACTAGTTAACTTATTAGAAGAGCATGGGATGCCATACATGTTATAGATTTGTGGTCGCTATATTATTCTCAACCTGTAAAAACAGAGAGGTTTTCCTTTGCCTACGACGTGCTAAGAAATATTATGTGACACGTATTTCACTTTGTTAAGCCTATGATGCGCCTTTGAAAGCTAGACATTTCGACTTTGACGTAATATCTTCTGTCTTTAATATAGGTGGTTGAGTAATTTAAACATATTAAAAAAGTTTAATAAGCTGGTTATTTGTAATAATAATTTGAATAGATAAAATTTTTTTTGTTAAGTTAGTTATTTGTAATAAATAAATATTGTCTTTTCTAAGATACCCTTACTAGTTATATGTACATTTAATGAGATTTTTAACATGTGTAATTACTAGAAAGGCTATCTTAAAAATAAATAAATAAATATAAAAAACAAAATGAATTGAGCTCTTATATTTAGGACCAAATTAAAAATTAAACTAACTCTTATATCATGAACTGGAGGTAGTATTAGTCATTCTATATTTGCATGCCTCTTAATTAAATGTTTAGACATTTGTCTCCCCTATCTACAAATGTTTTTCTTCCCTTTTGGTGCTTTATATGAGAGCAATGATTTCTATTGCTGCTGGAGAAGGTTACTGCAGCTTTCAAACTCATAAATGTCCTCTTCTCAAAATACAAGATTCTTGATGTTACGTTACTAATACTACAAGGACTATCATAAGAAAAAAATAAATAAATATAAGAGACAAAATGAATTGAGGTTTTATATTTAAGACCAAATTAAAAATCAAACTAGTTCTTATATCACGAACTGGAGATAGTATTAGCCATAATATATTTGCATGCCTTTTAATTAAATGTTTAGGCATTTGTCTCCTCTATCTACAAATGTTTTCCCCTCTTTTTTGGTGCTTTATATGAGAGTAGTGATTTCTATTGTTGCCGGAGAAGGTTAATGTAGCTTTCAAACTCATAATGTCCTCTTCTCAGAGTATAAGATTCTTGATATTAGGCTACTGATACTACAAGGACTACCTTAATAATAAATAAATATAAAAGACAAAAAGGATTAAGACTTTATATTTAGGACTAAATTATAAATCAAACTAGCTTTTTATATCAAGAACTGGAAGTAGATTAGCCATTCTATATTTGTATGCCTTTTAATTAAATGTTTACGCATTTATCTCCTCTATCTACAAATGTTTTCCCACTTTTTTGGTGTTTATATAAGAGCAATGATTTCCATTGTTCCTGGAGAAGGTTACTGTAGCTTTCAAACTCATAAATGTCCTCTTCTCAAAGTACAAGATTCCTGATATTATGCTATTGATATTACAAGTACTACTTTAAGAATAAATAAATAAATAAATATAAGAGACAAAATAGGTTGAGGTCTTATATTTAAAACCAAATTAAAAATCAAACTAGCTCTTGTATCAAGAACTGGAGGTAGTATTAGCCATTTTATATTTGCATGCCTTTTAATTAAATGTTAAGGCATTTGTCTCCTCTATCTACAAATGTTTCCCCTCCTTTTTGGTGCTTTATATGAGAGCACTAATTTTTATTGTTGCTGAAGAAGGTTACTGTAGCTTTCAAACTCATAAATGTCATCTTCTCAAAGTACAAGATTCTTGATATTACACTATTGATCTTTCATCCCAGATAATACATACAGAGCATCCACTCAGTACCAAATACCAAATGATTGACAGATAATTATTTGTGGATATGGCCAAGTAACTTTGTAGTTTATGCTAGTGTCTAGAGCTGGTAACGTGGGCCCAACCTGCGGTTTGGCAATATGTCAGCCCGCCAAGGTGCGGGCTGTTCCAGCTTGCACCATTTTGAGCTTACTTTCTCGCGGGCTGGCCTGCTTTTTTTTTTTGTTTCTTTTTTAAATTTTCATATAATTCCTACTATAGTTAAAATATTTTAATCCTCAAATTCCACATGAATAATTAAACATTGCTTCTTTCATATCATTGCATAAGTAATTAAACACTTTATATATTTGTGATTTTGCGTGTAGTTATACGAAGATCATCGTCCATCTTTTATTTTTCATTTATTTGTTGCGTCACTATAAAAGCCTTATAAATTAAATAAACATGTAATACTTATACATTTATACATAAAATATCTACTTAATTAATTTGGATAAGAAAACTAAATTACTTTGAATAAGAAAACTAGTTAAATTAATTATTTATAAAAAATATATTAGTTTTTAAAAATATCTTCTTAAATTATAAATTAATCTTCACTTTATTTTATTATAACTCACTACTCAAATTTAAGATTCGAAGCCTAATTTTAACATTTCAAATTAAATTCAACCTATACTAATAATAATATTTTTATTTAAGAAAAGAATATTGAGGCGGGCTTGCTAGCTGACCCGTGTCCGTACGGCTAGCCCGCATTTTTTGAAAGTATATGATTTATCTCCAGTAAACCATCTATTGTTTTTTTTTCAAACCCATTAAAATTAATGATTGTTTATGTTTCTTTAAAAAATTCTGTGTTTTTCTCTGTCACCAAAAAAAAAAACTTCTGTGTTGTTAAATATTCGCGTTTATCGGGTTTTTGCTTA